TTTATTTTTATTCATTTTTGCATGAAGTATTAAATGATAAATCTTTACAAGCTACTTCAATATTTAAGTCTGGATCACTTTACCTTTCATATTTTGAATCAAAATCTTCACATTATATTTAGAGATTTAAATCTCTTCTAATATTCTAAATTCCTTGATTGTTGAACTAACAAAACAATCCAGCCATTTTAGTTTCAAAAGTAAAATATAAATTATTAGATTTGTTAGAATTTACTATAGTTGCAGTGACTTAAAATGTATAAGTTGAATTTTTGCTTAAAGTATATCTTGGAATAGTTGTTTCAAAGGAGTTTGAATTAATTGTAGTATTCAAATTTGATGAAGATGACTTTTAAGGATATCTATCAATTTCTATAAGCTAAATCTAGTATTTAGAAGACTCATCTGAAATTGAATTTACTAAAGTACCAACAGAAACCCCAATTTAAATTGTTTCATATAAAAAATATGAGGGTTTCATTTCTATATTAATTTATGGAATATCTCCTGCATGAGCGTAAATTGTAAATTCAGAATAAGATGAAATAAGGATAAAATTTTAATATTAAATCCTAAATTTTAATACTGCATCACTAGGCAAAGTAAGTTTTGGTATTAATAAATTTTATTCTTAGAGAAAGTTAATTTAATCCAAAAATTAATTAAGCATAGAGCTAGATTCGCCAGATTCAATCTAACAACTCCAATAAATGTTTATTAGCTTTCTATTTCCATTGTTTTTAATTGATTGTAAATATACTTAATTCTTAGCATAAGGATTTAGTTTATGAAGGGGTACATGATAATTAATTTTAGGAGGTAATGGATTCTTTGGTTATTATAATGTTGCAAAGATAAACGTTTTTAAAGTAGTTTTGCAATTTATATGAGATAATGAAATATCTTTAAATTTGATTGCTTCACAAACATTCATTTTAGAGTTTTCTCCTAGATATATAAATAATTCATTATTATCCTCAGAGTTAATGGTACAGACTGAATTTTAACCAAAATTTTGTACAGATACTAATTCAAATAATTACGAGCATTTATTAACTTCTATATAAAGTTAATACAAAATTATTTTTACTTTAAGAATCGAAACTCTTAGGATTCAAAGGAAAATCAAAATGGATAATAATCATACTAAGGTCATCTGATAAATATGAATTAACTACTGCAACTTGACAAGCTAGGAATCATATTTTGGAATAATTTACTTGAACACCAAGGAGTATTATCATACCAAATTGAGTTTGGTGGCGGAATACAATTCATTTCTTCATTAAGTTCTCTATTAGCAAAGCAAGATAAATATCCATTAATATTGCATTCTAAACAAGTACTATCACATTTTTAGCAATCTTCATTTAATTGATCATCGTAATATCCTGATTCACATATGCATTATGGTTCTTACAATCTATTACCTTTACAAGTTTTGCAATTAAAAGGATCTTAAACACAAGTAGCACATTAAAATGTATTTTCTATTTAAATATTAATAAATTAATACATTAACATAATTTTTATCCAGTTTCAAAATATCCATAAATACATTTGCAATCTTTTTCAATTCTTCCTGGTTGACAAGTCAAACAATTTGAGGATTCCTACAAGCATGGATTAATTGATACTTGAATTTAACTATATTGCATTTAGAAGCACAAACTTATTTAAAAAATAAAATTTACTTTAACAATTGAATTACTCATCTTCATAAAATCCATCAATACAATTACAAGTAGGTGTATTAATTCTCATTGAATTTTAGCAAATTAGACAATTATTTGCTTTAATTTCAAAAGTTTTACATTACAAATTACATTTTTAGCATTAAATTTATGTTCCATCATCAAAATAACCATCTTTACAATTACATTAATCAGATAAAGATTTACGATTAGAGTTTAATTATATATTACAACTTAAACATTAATCACTCTAATTGATGCAAGTTTAACATTTAATTTCACATTCTAATAATAATTGTGAAATTTACTTTAACAAATAAAATTTTGGTGTTGTTAAAATCCAATGATACAAGGACATTTATGTATAATAGATTGATCAACTCTCTTAGAATTAGTATCACAGCTTGTACAATAACCAGCTGAACCTTAACAGGTTAAACATTCATTTGAGCATTCTATGTTATCATCTAATTTTTATTACTTGAACATATCAATGTGTTTTATTCATAATAACCGGGTTTACAGATACATTTTTCTCCTGAATGATATCTGTTATGATCAAAATCGTAACAAGATAAACAAAGTGTAGCAAAAGATTATCATTGCATTTATAACACAATTCGATTCCAGCTTCATAATAGCCATCCAGACACAAACACTTATTATTTATTAATATTCTATAATATTAACTCATACAAGTTAAGCAATTAGTGTAGATATTTTCACAAGTATTAAATGAAAAATGACATACTAAATATTATTTTATATTACATTAGCAATTTTATTAGTTTGTTTCAAAATATCCATCATTACATAAACACTTATTTTAATCTACTACTAAATGTCTAGTTTATATTCTGCATTAACATTCTAAACAAGTGATATTGCATTCTTTATAAATAAATATTATTACATTAACATGAATGACTTACAGAATCAAAAAAATAAGATTATGAACACAAACATTTATTATTGACCAAAGTTAAATTAAGATTATTATCACAAGTTAAGCAATTATCATATACTAAGGAACAAGTCAAGCAAGAACTAATACATTTTTCACAATTTAAGTTAATTGGATTTTCATAATATCCTTGTAGACATTCACAAGTATTTCCATTTTTAAATTGTCTATAATTATCAATTGAGCATGATAAACAATAATTATTGGTATTAGCACAAGTTAAACAAGTTTTATCACATAACTTACATGATTTATCAATACTTGATTCATACATTCCATCACTACAAATACAATCATTATTTTTTAAGTTTTTATATTAAATACAAGATGTACATTAATTTAGAGATTAAGAGCATGTCTTACAACTTGAATTACATTATTAACAGATTCCATCTATTTCAATATAGCCTATTTAGCAATCGCAGGTTCTCTTTATTATGTTGATTTCTCTAAATTAATTAGGATCACAAGATGTGCAATTATTTGATATGGTTTCATATGTCAGACATTTTGAATTACATTTTGAACAAAGTTATAATCCAATATCGTAATATCCCTAATGGCATTTACAATTTGTTTCTATTTTTCTTGTCTAAGGACATGATAAGCATAAATAAGATTTTCCAACACAATTTAAAAATTAAATATCACATTTTTAACATGATATTGATGAACCATCATCAAAATATCCAAATAAACATTTACATGTATTATTATAAAATGCCCTTTTAGTAGTATTCGCATCTATACATGAAATACAAGAATTTGCATCTCCTTAATTACAACTTAAACATGAATAGTGGCATTTTAAACAATTTTCAACTCCAATATCATAATATCCAATATTACAATCGCATGAAAAAAGCTAATCATTATATATTCTATTCGATTCATTTGAGCATAACTCACATTTTGTTTCAATATCATTACATTTGAGACATGAAAAATGGCATTCTTAAAATAATTAGAAATCATATATACTTTAACAAACATTATTCTATCCATTAACATAATATCCTTGAATACATTGACATTTATTGAAACCTGAAACTAATAATCTCAAACTGTTATCTTGACAAGAAATACATCTGTCAAAATACTTTTAACATCCTTTACATTTATAACTGCATTCTATTTATAACAATCAGTTATACTTGCACAAGTGGGCAATCCTGTATCAAAGTATCCTTCTTTACAAACACAAGTATTTCCTACTTAGAATCTGTTTTCAGTATCTATACAAGAAACACAATTTGCTTCATCCATTCCTATGCATGTACTACATGAATAATGGCATTCTAATTTTTATTTAATAAAATACTCTAACATGTAAGCATTCCATTAAAATCAAATGTACTAATTGCGACTCCATGAAATTTAGTTTTACATTTGCATGTATTTCCATCTAAATATCTATCATTGTTGCATGAAGTACAATTTTTAGAATTGTTAATACATTCATAACAAAATGGGCTACAAGCTTTTTTTAGATCTAATGGTTACCTGAGCATTCTTAAACTTCCATTTCAAAATAATTTGGTTAGCATTAACATAAATTATTTTTAATTTCTCTATGTTAATTAGAATTGCAGGAGAGACAGTCATTCTGCTCAATTCCTTGACAGGTTTGACATTTGAAATGGCATTCTTTAATTTATATTTATATTACTTAGACAAGTTATCTCATTTTCTTTATCAAAGTATTCCTCTGAACAATAACATCCTTTAATTGGATCAAGCTTACGCATTGAATTTAATGGACAACTCAGACATTTATCCGCTTGAATGTCACATGTCTCACATTTATATGCACATTCTAATAGATATTAATAATTTTATAATTACTTTAACATTTAGCCATTCCAACTTCCTCATAATATCCATCAACACATTTACAAACATTGCCTTTCAAAATTCTAAGATTAAGGTCAAAAGAACACATGATACAACTTTCTTCATTATTATCGAAACATCTGTGACAAGAATAATGACATTCTTTAATAATGAATAAATACTACCTGCACATTCTAATTATCCAATATCATAATAATTTATTGGACAAACACAAAATGATAATTCCAATTATCTATAATTTGTATCACATGTTAGGCAATTAGCTGAAAGTGGACCAAAACATGTCTTACAGGATTAATCACATTATTGACATTATAATGAAAATCCATCATCAAATGTATTTGAATCAGTACAAAAGCATTCGAAGAAACTACCTGATGATTAAGCTGTTCTACTAGAAGGACATTCTAAACATGTATCCTTTTCAGTACTGCTTGCACATATCAAACAAGAATGATGACACTCTATTAATCACATCTAATTAAGTACTTTAACATTTTATATTTTTCAGTATTATCATCAAAATACCATTATTTACATAAACATTCTCCCAAAGGTGTTAATTCTCTGTTAGAAATTTCTGAGCATTATGAACAATTTGTGGCTTCGGCACCAATACAATTTCCACATGTATAATGACAAACTATGTATAATTTATTAATCTACCAGCAAAAACTTCTAAAATGCCCCAAAATCACTATAATTAACTTCACAATCACATTTAAAAGTGTCTGAAACAACACGATTTTATCCAGGAATACAAGTAAGACAATATTGGTTTTCAGATCCATCAGCAGGTTAGAAACATATCAAGCATTTTGCATGGCATTCTAAAATGAATTAAAAGCAATACTTCCACAGGTTTATTCCTTAACTTCATATTCAGAATATCCTGTTTTACATTGACAAACATTTCCAATTTAAATTCTGTTTGATATACTTTCTTCTACACAATCAATACAATCTTAAATTAATGGACCAAAGCAATTTTGACAAGATTTATCACAGACTAAAAATCAATAACAAATTTACAAATGCAAATTTAATCATCATTTTCAGGGTCGTATGTACCTGGTTAACAAATGCATTGCTTGTTTATTACTATTCTATTTAATCCTGGTTTACATGAAGTACATGAATAAAAATCATCACTTTCACAATTATGACAATATCCATTTGCACAAAGTGTACAAATTCCTTCTAATAAACCATAAAATGGTTTGCATTTGCAGATATCATCAATAACTATTAAATTTTTCTCACTTTAACAAATTACGCATTTTTTTTCTATATACGAGTAAGAATAATTAGGATCGCATAAAGTACATGTTGTATAATAATGCATTTTGTCGCCAATTTAATAATCAAATATCATTGATTATCTTGAGGGGTCGCAATTCCAATCCATTTAAATGCAACTATTGTCACTTCCATACCCAACTTATTTTAAGTATCCTTAAAAGCAACTCTCACAATTGAACCTAAATATAGATGATGATGATGGGCTAGCAGATAGACAAGGTGAGATTTCTAAAAAAATCTTTTAATACAATTACACAAACACGTTTATCTTTAATACATAAATCCAGTTATGCAAGCTTCACTTTTATAGTATGAGCCACCGACAATTGAGGAATAACAATCAGTATGTCCATCACAAACTATCCATATAAATATAATATGTTATCAAGTACATTAAGAGCATAAATTATCACCTTATGATTTATTTACATACCCAAAATAACACTTAATACACGTTCTATCATAATTACATCTCAAAAAATTTCCATTACAACCTTTAATAAATATATTGTAATACGTATTTCATTGGGACTTATAAATCTTTCATCGTATTTCCATTCAATTTAATCACAACCGAAACCATATCCCATAAATGGACGTTTACAAATCTAGCATCGAAATAAACCTTACTTATAGGCGGTTATCAAACACTTATTATGTGAACCATCTGCAAAATCTAAAGTAATAGTAATTTATACTTACATTAACAATAATACTTATAATTTTGGTCTGGTAGCTACTCCATTACAAGCGAAACGCCTTATTAAAATCCACAATGAACAATATATTCGTCTCGAGTTGGAGACCCTGCTCCCCATAGTTAAAATCTGGGATGACATTGATGTTAAGTTCCATTTACTTCAATTTTTACTAATACTTCTGTAACACCTTTACAAATCAAAGCATAAGCTATTAATAAAGTTAATAATTACAGACACATTGATATGGATGCAATCCTGGCATAATTGTATGTTATTAAGGACAATTTGGATCATTAGTTTAGAAACCTATAGAAAAAAGTGACGATTAGCTGTATAGATTAGCTGTAAAATCTCCTTCCAAATACTTCGGTAATGAGAACTAATGTAACCAAAAACATAATCAAATTTTAATAATTAGAATTTAGTCTTAAAATTAATAAAAAAATAAATTTCTTAAATGTTAATTAAATGTGAATAATAAATATTGATTATTTTTTAATAATGAATTTTAATTTAAATCATATAACAAAGCTAAATAGTATCAATGTTATGTAGTTTAAATTATGACATGAAATTATTAAAATCAATTAATATGTATAATCTAAAATTCTTATATTTGATCATTCAGATCAGAACATTTTGTTAATTATTAATAAAATTAATTTCCTTAGTCAAGGTTTCTATTTAAATAAAATTAGCAATTTGTCAAATTCTTGTTATTCACTTATTTTCCTCTTAAATATGCTTAAGGAAAATATGAAATTAATCCTTTCATTATTTTCAAATTTTGAAGGTAATTAAATTATATAAACTACAAACCATCCTGATTATAGGCCTAAAATTATTAAAATTTCTCTTTTTTTCATTTCAATAATTACCATTTATAAATTCTATTGTTTTAGTTTCAATTTACTAAAATGCTCCTTTTTAATTTAATAAATAAAAAGACGGCTTAGTTGTTAATTAATGAGCAATACACAAAAAAAAAAAATTCAAAAAACTTTGTTTTGAAATATGGTTTCACAATCTCATTATCATACAGTTTGAGTAGGTAGATAAAAATATGATAATTTAAATAAAATTTATTTACATAAATATTTCCATTAATTTGATTATTACTTTTCCCATATTATTTATTCACAATACTTCAAGATATTAATAGATTTCTGATTCATAAAAACTAAATGAATAAATAGTAATAGTTTTTGAATCTAGATTATAAATAAAAGTCAATTCTTTATTTAAATAATCAACACTCCATAAATTTAAGGATCTTCACCATCAGTAAATAATTAATCTTCAGCTTAATTTAAAATCATATAATTTATCCAATACTCATGTTTCTAATAAAATTATGATCTTCTCCACTCCCAATCATTAATTTATACCCACATATAAATTCCTCAACCATTTATACCTGTAAAGGTTATATTATAGACTACATTTAATACTTCTAGAAGGTCAAATGTTCTTAAATGGTCTTGCTTTCCATTCTCAAAATGCTAAATAGTAATATTATTTAAATAATCAGATGATATAAAAAGACTTCTATCTTTATTAAACGGAGCTGGCCTACTCTATTTTTTGAAGAAGTTTAAAGTTTAAATATGTACTAATTTAACAATTCCATTAAATGGTAGTAGGTTTTATTATTTATAAATATTATCTATTTATATTATATAACTTTCCTCATTCTACTTTTATTCTTGAGTAACAGTATTTATTTATCTTATTCTTAATTAATATTAACTAGATTAAGTTTCAAATTCTCAAAACTCTTGATTAAAAATTCCTTTTATTCTAAATTTGATATTTAATTAATAACATTATCAACATATTATCATTAATTGAGTTAATTAATTTAAATAAATTTTGTTGATTTTCAAATATTATCTTGTCATTTCCAATTAAATTATAAATTGGATCAAATAAACTATATTTAACAGTTTAATAAACAAATTATTTAATATTTAAATCCATTCATTTGTAAACTAAACTATCTTAACAGACTGTTAAATTAATTTACTTAAAAAAATACAAGGATCTCTTTAAAGTTGTTCTATTTATCCTAAATTAGTATTATATTTTCGAATTGCTACTTCTTAAATTTATATTTAACTTATATCACTTAAAAAATAGCATTAAAATTAATTTATTTATCATCAAACTTTGGGTTCAATAAAGATGTATAACATAATAATTTATCACTTTTATTCAATTATGGAGCTGAACTGACTTTCTCTATTCTTTACTTGTGTTTCTAATTGCAATTTAGGCTCATTTCTTTCTCAATCATTTGAAATTACAAAATAACTTTTTGATAGACTATATTAGTTTCTTAATTTTTATGATTTAGTTTCTATTCTTATCTTTTTTAGAGTCAGAAATTTTCTAATAAATATAAATACTTTAGTGTAAAAAATTCTAAACTTTAATATCTGTAAAATAAATAATATTATCATAAATAACAATTATGTTATCAGATTTGTATTTTCTCCATTAAACATAAATGAATTTTCATATTTGTACTTTCTCCATTAAACATAAATGAATTTTCATATTATAATAATATTTAAGGTGAAATTCTGGTGAGAAAGTTTAATATACTTTATATCTTATCAATTTCCCTTAAAAGTTCAAATATAATAAACTTTCGCCTTCAGGATTAATAAATAAAAATTATCTACTTCTGTGAAAATCTACTTTTTAATAATAAAAAACAAATACAATTAAATGAAACTAAACGAAGTACAATACTAAGTATCTTAACCATAATATAAAATTGAAATAAGTAATATTGAAATTCATTTTATTAAGTAATAAGAATAGTATAGAATACAAAATTTGATACTATTTAAATTAATGTATAATATGAATTTATAGAATATATATAAAAATTATCATATAGATTCAATCGACTATTATATTATGTTTTATTCTAATAGAATTATGAATTTTTTTGAAATATATCAAGAAAAATTGAATATTTGAATTTATCAATAAATAGAATACATTTTTATATATTCAGAAACATAAATAGGTTATCTATTATTTATTTAGTATATAAACTAAATTTATGATTTTAAAAGTTAATTAATTCAAAGAATATGCAAGATTTATAGATTTCTGAAAATTAAAATGAATTTAAGTGTTCAGAAAAGCACAAGTAGATTATCACTACTATTCTTATTGATCATAAATTAAATAAATAGGAAAGATTCTTATATTAATAATGTTTGAATATAAACTTAAAGTATTTGAGGGTATAGGTCTTAAAGAAAATAAATTAATAAAAAAGAGAAAAATGATGAATGAAATTGGATATTAATATATTGAAATAATTTAGTAATACAATAAAAATTTAGAAAATTTAAAGACTAAATTAACATCTGCTATTGAAATAATGTTTAATGCCAATAAAAATTGGATTAGAGAATTGAATTAAAAAAATAAGATTTTTGTATTTATTGCTTTATTGATGAATCAGATGATTATATTAGAAATAGATAATAATATTTGCATACATTTTAATTTGATTTTTTTGATAAAATGAATTACTCATAATTTAATATACTAAAAATAGGAATTTAAAAATTAATTGAAGCACATAGTCTTCATTAATATAAGGAATTTATTAAAAATATGAGGGATAATAAAGAAAAAATAAAATAATTCAAAAATTATGGTAACTATCGAAAGATGGTAATATTCAAATGAAATTGTTAAGTAATTCTATAAACTTAGGCGAAAATACTCTTTTTAAAAATAACTTTAATTTAATAAATTGAAATTTTGACCCTATAATAATAAATAAATATTAAAAAATGCAATATCTTTAATTAATTATTATTTTTATCAAATTTTAAACAAGAGTACTCAATAAAAAGTTTTGTCAAAGGTTTAAATTACCATTTCCAAAAATTCTTGAATTTAAATATTCTATTCATTAAATTTAGAAAAAATTAATCTTTGATTTTAAGTATATCGTTTCGCAATTCAATGCCTAACAAAAAAACTTAGAACTGCTTAATTGAAAGCAATGTTTTTCATGTATATATTTCACACCTAAAATTTTTCAAACAATTCTATCTATTCCTTTAATGATTAGCTTAAAGTAGGGCTTATCATTTCTTACCCACCATGAAACTAAGATTTCTTTTATTAAATACTAAAGCAAACTAAAGAAAGATCTATTAAATAATACTTAAGCCTCTAAATATTGTTTAATAAA